GTGTCAACGATAGCCATGTGATGTGAGTATCAGTCACATGGAGGCAGTGCTTAAAGCCTGAATTTTGCCTGAAACTCTCAGACTGAAGAAGTCTCGTGGAGGAGAGACGAAACGTTTCATTAGAGAAGAACCCGTCCAGAGGACCTATACAATTTTTTTCTTTTTGATTTTTTACCTGGATTACTGAGATGCATCAGGACATTTTGGAGATAAGGTTTTACATGACTTGACTTGTAGCTTTTCAGCAACCGACCGCTGTTTTGTTTTGTATTATTTAATAAACCTTTAACATTTGCTTAACGTTCTTCTAACGTTTGGCTACATTTAGTTTTGAGCTATAGCATTTTGTTACCTTTTAAATATCATTTTTCTATTTTTAGGATTTTGATAGTTTAAGCTGTTTAGTTTATCTTATTTAATAATGTTTTAGTAAATTTAGTTAGCCTCTTGCTATTTCCTACTAACCTTTTACTAAATTTAGCTTTTAGCTAGTCTTCATTGTCTTTCAAAGACCAAACAATATGTTCTTCAGAGTTCATTTAATGACAACTAACATCTAATTATCTAACTAATTAAGGATCGATTGGTTTTATTTTGTGCAAACAATAGGAACTTGTTCATTTTCTTCATTGTTGGCAGAAATATTTTGATATTCTAGGACAGGGGTGACAAACTACCGCCGACCCRCGGTCTAGTTTTTATTGGCCCGAAGCAAATTCTGAAAATATAATTGAATATGGCCCGCACAAGAAGCTTGATCTCAACTCTGTTGCACTTTTCAATTTCAACACTGGATGAAGCCAGCCACAGAAATGAAACTATAGAGAAGAGAAGAAGAACCTTTTTGTGACTGCAGCACTTGTTCCATTTGAGTCTCCAGAAAAGGCGTCGCCGAAGAAACGAAAAATAGCAAGTGAGTGTAGATTTCAAACACGGTGGGAAAATGAGTATTGTTTTTTCAAAGAAATCAACAGAAAGTGTGTATGTTTGATTTGCAATGAAGATGTAGCTGTGATGAAAGAAGATAATGTCCGTCGACATCATGAGACCAAACATCAGAGCTGCACCTCGGACACTGGTGCCAAACAAACACAGAAAGTCAAGCAAATGGCAGCTAGCCTGCAAGCTCAACAGCAGGGTTTTTTTTCGTGCTAACAAAATACAGGAAAATGCTACAACAGCAAGTCATGAAGTCGCTAAACTTATTGCMCAGCACGACAAACTGTTTTCAGACGGTGATTTCATAAAGCAGTGTCTCATCAAAGTCACAGAAATAATGTGCCCAGAAAAAGTGCCTGATTTCAACAATGTGAGCTCATCCAGAAATACGGTAGCCTGGCCCTTGCTTTCCTACGCAGCTCCACTCAATTCTAGTTTCCCTTCACTGCTCCGTCTGGGACTTCTCCCATTGAGATGGATTTCACTGGCAGATTTTTAGCCGGGCCAATCAGAGAAGAGAACGTCGATTTTCTGCACAGTGTCTGCTTGTAGTTTATTTTACCTGGGCCAATCAGAGAACAGAAGGAGGAGCTTTGAACGAAGTCATGTTCTGAGCAGTGTCTGCTACTTATTTTAGCATACGGCAGTGGAGGAAGTGAATGAAGCCAGTCYGTGTTGATAAGGCTTCCAAATTAAAATAAATTTGTCTGACAAAGCAGCAGCTCTCATTTACAGTCGTCTCATTCAGCTCGGTATATTTCTTCTCTCAGTAGGGTTGTTTACAGCACACGCGATTTCCGGTTAGCTTCTTAGTTTAGCCTCCGTCACAGCTACATACGTCGCAGCCAACTGATCCAATCATTTTAAACTTCAGCAGAGGCCACGCCTCCTGCAAGAAATCTATTCTCTACGCATCAAGTCCAGACCCTTGTACGAAGCAAAGTGAAGGACAGGGTCTGGTTTAAACCAGGCTAGAAATACGCTGGTGTGGAGAATTGAGGACCTGTCGGCTAACTTGAAATTTCAGCTGGGAGACAAAGCTTGTGGTTTTGATTTTACTCGATAGCATGCGATGAGAGCATGGATGCCACAGATACYGCGCAACTGTTAATTTTTTTGCGGGGAGTAAATGATAATTTTTGTTGTACGGAGGAGCTGCTTGATATAATGAGCCTAAAAGGCACAACRACAGGAAAATATATTTTTGAAGCTGTGTCAGAGGCAGTTGAAAAGATGGGGCTTAAATGGGACAAGCTCTGTGGAGYAACAACGGATGGAGCTCCGGCCATGACGGTGAGTTTGAAATACACACATTATTGATGTATGAATGCATCTCATTATTACAGTAAAACTGATCCATTTATGTTTTCATTATTTTATAGAAAATGGTGTGAAGGACAGTTAACCAACCCCTCACTTGACCTTAAAACTCCCTCGTTACAACTCTACCACCCCCCCTTAGAATCCATGTGAAGACTAACCACAGTGACTTTGTGCCCAATAAGAAACAAACACTATTAGACCATTTGCACAGTTGGACTTTGAGTTCATGTCAGCCATCCTTCAATCCAAAGGACAGCATCACTGCTCCCACTGAGTGCAATGTTCTTCACATAGGTGAGTTAGAAATACACACATTGTTGATGTATCAGTGTGTCACTTCTAGTGTGTGGCTCRGCCCKTTGTTTATTTTTCTGTATTTGGCCCTCACTAAAAAAAAGTTTGGACACCCCTGTTCTAGGAAGTAGCCGAACTATGTCCTTTTCCAAACTGAGGTTGTTCTAATGAGCCATCTGCAGCAGGTAAGATGTTGACTGTTCTAGTTTGAATTAATAGCCGAAGGAATAAAATATGAGAAACAAAACAAAAACAGGGTTTTAAATCAGGCTTTAATGCACTCTGTGCATATTTAACACAAACCACGCTTTATTGAACACACACACACTTCCTGCTTGCTGCACACTCACTGAAGATAAGCCTCTGTTGTCATGACAGCTGCAGCTGTGTGAGACAGTGGATACAGCTGTTCCATCAAATCCTGCATCAGGAAAACATGTTTATTTTGTAAATTTCCACATCAGCTTCCCAAAAAAACCCTCTGTTTCCCAGATGAATGGCTACAGTAAATATTTGCGTATGTTTCCTATAAAAGCAGAAATGCCATCCTGCAGATCTACCTGTGCTGATTATTCTGCTCTTCAAGTGCATGAAGGGTAAAAAGAGCCAACATTCTGAGCTGAAAAGACCCAAAATCAGAATTTTAATCAGGATGAAGACCTAGCTTGATGAGGCTGTTAAAGCTAGACTACGTTCCAATTAATGTTTGTTTGTTTTTTCCTCTGGGCTTTCAGGACTGCTCCGCAGAATCTTGTGTATCTGAAGGAGTTTCAGATGAATGGTGCTGGATAAACAAGAAAGAGCAAACTGGGTTACAGATGAGGATCAGTGAGCTGAAGATGATGTGAGCTCAGAGGGGTGAAACGAGCACTKACGGCTTTCAGCCTGTAAATAAAATCTTTGAAAAGTGAAAAAAAAAAAACCCAGCTTGGATCAACTAGTCTGGATTCATGTAATCATGGTGTGAGTGAGAGAGTGAATGATTGTCTCTGTGTCCCTGTGGTGGACTTGTGACCTGTCCAAGGTTTACTCCGCCACTCGCACAGTACCTGCTGGATATGGGCACCAGTGACCCCCCGTGACCCTGAAAGGAGGAAGTGGGTATAGATAAAAGATGGATGGGCCTCATCTTCAGTAATGAAGGTGTTGCTTCGGTCCGTCCTGGTTGAGAGTTGAGTTGAAAGGCAAAGATCTGCTGTCTATGTTCCCAACCTCACCTGTGGTCATGAAGCGTGAGACTGAAACCAGAWCCAGATCCTCAACAGAACTTCTCTCAGGAACACAACATCACAGGCCATGCTCTACAGACAAGAATCTTGTAAAAACACCCCAGACTTTAACCAGAGAGTCACTGAGAAATTTGCTTCTCAAGTACAGAAGGGAAAAATTTAAGTACAAAATAATAAAACATTACATACACTGTAATGCTGTTTTCATTSAATTTATTTATGTAATAAATACACTAGCTTAATACAACATGTTTGCTTGATTTTGGAGATATGTCTATTTTGTAGCCCCTCCACCAGCCGCCACTGCTGCAGCACGTGCATAAATTTGTAATCAGTGTCTTTTYAAATGCTGCAGCTTCAAGTGGAACCAATGAAGAAGACTTTAACGTGTAATTATTTGGAGTCATTTAAACGACATTTTCACATGTAACTCCTCAGACGGTAATAATCATGTTTCTCTCTCACATGCAGAAGCAGAGTTTAAAGGAGACAAATTTAGTCTGTAACTGATTACAAATCTGTGCAAATGAACCTTTTTGTACCATTGGCGGCAAATTGTACAAAATTTACTGCTTATAAAAGGCCAATCTGACATGAGCATAAAAACTCTTTGAAAACTAATAAACACTGTCTAAAATAGAAGAATTAATAATTTTAGGCTTGTTTTGTTCATCTGTTAGAGGTAGTTTGATCCCCGTCAGCAAAAWTTTTTATTTTCTATACCAAACTTGTGGAATATAGCTTCCATGCTGTCAATAACTAAGTCAGTATTATTACACCTGTAACATATTGAGGTGAGTTTCCACAGCGTTGAAGATGTTGGTTTGAACTTTTTGTGTCAGAGCTATCATGGTCGATGGGGAAAATAGTCGATGCTTCGTGGAACCTGTTTCGAAGGTCCGGTGTTTCCAACGGGTGACRTTCCCCAAAGTTCTGTTTCCTTTAAGCTTCATCATATTTATATTCCCAGTGTTTATACTTATTCTATGGATCTATCATAACAAGGTTTCTCCAGGATAAGATGGTGGTGTCTTTAGACCGTCAACTGGACCTAAGTTGTAAGGGACCTATGCTCCTATTTCCATCTTCTACTGCTTTTCCACGCTTGAGGCGAGAAACCTCAAAAAAAAAAAAAAATCCAAAGGGAAGCACCCTATAAACCCCATATTGTTTCTTTTCCATGGGTCTGGATTCATAGAAACATACGATCTCATGAGCATATTTTCTTGATCTCTGGTCTACCCCAAGTTTAAATTGTCTAAATTCCTTCAAAGGACCCAGCCTACCCGGTCTAGGTGGTCCTGTGAAGACTGGAAAAAAGTGGCTGTGAATTTGAACGGTCCTAGCCTTACCACCGTGCAATGTTGACGCTAAACAGAAGCCAAAATAGATCGGTATTAGTGAAATATAAACATATTGTTATTAATAATATCACAAAACAACAAAAYTAACTTAAAGGCAATATTTGAAGAACTACGGGGCATGCCCGTTTATTTCACTATACCAGCTCRTTTGATTTCTGACGAGAATAATACAATACTTGTATTTACRTATTATAAAGCATTAACAACACAATTACTTTAAAGTTTTATACTGCCAGATTTTTATTTAAAGCTGTATAACTTAYTCTCACTTACTCCTCCATCAAAAGCAGAAAAAAAATTCCGGTCGGCCCGCAATGCATAATGAGATACAGTGGGCCGAGAAAGATCCATCGGACCAGTCTTTCAAATCAGGGAAAAAAGAGACAYATTTGTCGGCCACATCAGAGGAGTCTTTGAATTTGGACAGCCTGGACGTTGAGACGTAAGCGGCCGCTGAATTCGGCCTTAGGAGGACACAGCCCCTGAATTTGGACACAGGCTCAGGCGATGTCCAGWACATGGTTGCCATCTTGAAAGCTGCCWTATTGGATCACAGACAACTTTTTTCCAATGGGAAGGTGGTCATGTAGCATATCATAAAAGACCAGAATTGTCTCAGAAATTAATCGCCACAATCAGTGGTGCAATATTTACTGTGGTTCAAAAGTTAYTGACACAGAAAGTCCAAAACYTTTGTTGTTTGTCACAGGTGGGTCTGTGTTCAGCATCACAGGCAACGTTCCCAGTTGTTGCAACTTTTCTGTGTTGATAACTTTTGAGCCACAAGAGACATTRCAAATCTGATTGTGTCAATCATTGACCTTCTATGGCATGCTACATGTACCACCCTCTCAAGTGTCCTGAGCCTTTTGACTCACCCTTCAGAAAATCGTGCCCCTAGGAATCTAGTCCCATGGTATTAATGATCTCTTTTTCCCAGGTCATACCCATACTGGTTTGAGTTTGAAAAGTCAGATGTTACCAGGACAAGGTGTATCAAGTTCTGTCTTGAGGTCTTTCTTATCTTAGGTTTCTCAGTTTCCAGGATCCAAAGTCTTTTTAGTTTTATGTTCCCAAGGTCCTACATCAAGTTCACAAAGTGATCTTGTTCTTTGTTGTCTAATATCAAAAGAGTTCCACCTCGAAGGTTCCAGGATCTTCCATTTCTCAATGTTGGTGCTTAAACATTCATTTGGTTTCAARGTAAAATAGTTAAACAAGAACAAAATAATTTTCTGATTCACTCTGGACTTTACAAACATTAGAAAAAAAACACCATAAGTGTCCAACATAATAAAGCCAGCCTTGGTTTGAAACGAAGTCCTGCTTTTGATTTATCACCCAACCCACACAGACAGCTCTGGTGTCAGATTGACTCAAGCACCAAACTGTTCACCAGATGTCAGATTACATTAATAATCAGCATTAGCTTGTAAAAAAAAAATAAAACAAACATWTCACCATGAAGTCWCAGACTTCTACAAAACAATATGTTTATTTTTCTAGAGAATAAATGTCTTCGTTAAGTGTTGGTGTAAACAGAATTAGTCTTTTCTATCTCTGTGGAACGTGACGAGAGAAACATCTTGGCTGGTTTGAATGAGCCGGCAGTTCTGYGAGACGACAGTGGGAGTTCTGGAGGAGTGATGAGATGTATCAGACTCCTCAATCTGCTGTGGTGTAAATATTTTCACACTGCAGACATTCAGTTGGATCTCTGTTGCTCTGAAGGTTCAAGAACAGCACATTTGAAAGGGATTTCACTTTATATATACTGTATATACTATATTTTTTATACTGTGTATATTCATCCAATGCTAAGTTTGATCTGTTTTACAAATCTGTCTCATTGTTCGTTTTTGATTTGATCCCAGTGTTGTGAATGCTTTCACTGCAGTTTTACCTTTTGATTTCCCCCATTTATAAAAAGGTGCAGAGGCTGTAAAATGGACGAGTGCTCTGAGTATTTCTGCTGTCTCAAAGGTCCATCAGTGAACTTTGCTACTGTAGATGGAGCAATACATTTTATGGCTTTCACTGTTAACACCTGACATTAAATAAACTGAGACAGGAGACGTTTCCTTTGAGGAAGAGCTTCAATACATTGTCATAATAGGATTTACATTTGTTTCTACAATGCATGAATGGGAGGTAAGTCAAAAGAATCAAGGTAGTTTTTGGTGAACTCTAACAAAGATAACTGAAATGAAAACTGTAAACAAAGCTGGTTAGTCTTAAATTGAAATTTTAAGGCTTTCAGATAACTTGCAAGTGCCAAAAMTGTGTAAGAAATGACCAGAAGTTTGGCAGCACGATGGTTCAGTGGTTAGTACCGACACCCCACAGCAAGAAGGTCCCGGGTTCGATCCCCGGTTCGGACCTGTGGTCTTTCTGTGCGGAGTTTGCATGTTTTCGTGCTAGCATGGGTTTTCTCTGGGTACTCAGGTTTCCCCCACACCTAAAAACATGTTCAATAGGTTGCCTTCAGGCCCAGGCCTCCCTTAGAAAAAGAGATCTGAGATCTCAATGGGACTTGCCTGGTTAAATAATGATAAATAAATAAATAAATAAATAAATAAATAAATAAATAAAGAGGTGGGCAGCACTAATCTAAAATTTAGTTCCGCTACCCTAAAACACTAACTCAAATATTTAGGTCTAATTCTAAAGCACTAAAATAACCCAGTCAACCCATGAACATTCAGACAACATGAGTCACATGTTGTTTGTTGCTCTCTGAAGACTTATCATTGACATCCCACAGCTGTATTTGGGTTCATATATTGTCAATTTATTGTTYGCATGCGGGGGTCATAATGAAGTTGGGACATTGTTTATAACATAAATAAAAACAGAATGATGATTTGCAAATCCTTTTCAACCTATAATCTGTTGAATACACTACAAATACATAAAATTTAACGTTCAAATGGATAAACTTTATTTCTTTTTGCAAATATTAACTAGTTTTGAATTTGTTGCAACACGTTCTATAAAAGCAACAAAACACAGAGGCAACAAAACACAGAGGCAACAAAACACAGAGAAAGTTGAGGGAAGTTCAAAAACACCTGTTTGTAGCATTCCACGGGTAAACAGTATAACTGGAAACAGTGTCATGATTGGGCAACAATCTCAGGTCTCTCAAACTATTTCAGGGAGCATCCCTGAAAGGCTCAGTCGTTTGCAAGYAAGGATGAGACGAGGTTCACCATTCTGTGAACAACTGCATGAGCAACAGTTGAACAGTTTAATAACGTTTTTCAACTTAGAATTGCAAGGAATTTAGTGATTTTATTTTCTACAGTTCATACCGAAAGATTCAGAAAATCTGGACAAACCTCTGCAAGTAAGTGGCAAGGAGAAAAACCAGCATCAAATGCCCGTGATCTTTGACCCCTCAGGTAGGACTGCATTAAAATATGACATCTGTCTGTAATGGATATTACCACATGGGCTCAARAACACTTCAGAWAACCATTGTYAGYGAACACAGTTCATCACTACTGCAAGTGCAAATTAAAACTCTACCATGTAAAGCCAAAACCAGATATCAATAACACCCAGAAAYGCTGGCGGCTTTTCTGGGTCTGAGCTCATCTGAGATGGACTGACACAAAATGGAAAAGCATCCTGTGGTCTGACGAGTTCACATTTCAAAATGTTTTTGGAAATTATGGACGTTGTGTCCTCTGAGGAAAAGGACTATCTGACTATCAGCACGTGAAGTGGCTCGACTTCAAGAAAATCAATATTTAACAAAATAGAAACAAAATTTTCTTGTTGAACARCCAGGGTATTCTTTACAGCAACAGTGCTCAGAGACAAAAATCTAACAAATCCAAACCTTTTCAGTACACAATACACCATCAGTCATCAGTGACTTTTGTAGCGTCCGCAAACTCCGCATGTTTTCTAAAGGGTAAATGGCCTGTTCACTTCTGAGCTGACTAGRGCTGCTACTTCATGTGAMGTTTAAAARCCAGCATCTCTGATGGTATGGGGGTGTGTTGGTGCCCATGGCATGGGTAACTTGCACATCTTTGATTTGTGTTTATGTGGGCTTGTGATGGACTTGYGACCTGAGYGCACCCCACTGGATAGCGGCACCAGTGACAGCTGTGAACCTGAAACAAAGAAGTGGGTTAAGATTATCGATGGATGGATTAGCTGTTAGATGCCCACCACTAATGACCAGAGTATTAAATAAAACTTCAAGTGATGAAAGGTCATCTGCAAACTTTGTCAAGATCCAGTAACATCTAGTGTTTGGGCATTTGAGGAACCATAGGCAACAGTATTGCTTCCTCTTGATGCCCCTACTTGTGACCTCTGCTTCAGGTTTGGTACGTCCTGGCTTCTTGCTAAATAAATTGATAAATAGTTGATATACCGATTGCTGATCATTCTACAGTCTGCAGATTACGAGCCCTGCCTTCCTGTTTCKGAGAAGTCTAACCCCATAACCCGTGACATTGACCGAGCTTCACCTGGCAACATCATAAGGATGCTGGAAGCGTGTGACACCCAGATGTTTCAGGAAGATACAGGAGCAACATACCAGGTAAAGACATCCCCAAACTTATACGTATATTCCTCATATCCTATAAAGAAATGTCATAAATGTCACCTTTTAGAGGCTTTTGAGTGAACAAGTGGTAAAAACGCTAATGGAAGTTGCTGAGAGGGTACATCTCATTCTCAAGGTATTTTAAAATATATATATCTTTGGGTTTTCTGGTCACTCAACCAAAAAGTTAAAACCATCTTCTTTCAACAGGATCCTCAGGACAGCCTTGTTGTTCTGAGTGGCTGTGGCACTTCTGGCCGACTTGCTTTCTTCATCACGGTAAAAGCTATCGCCTTGTTGTTGGATCCTCTGGAAAACGTTAAAACACGCTCTATGTCCTCCTTGTCTGTTTGGTAGACTGGTTTCAACAGAGCGCTGAGGCAGCTGAACCGAAGTGAGATCTACTCATACATCATCGCAGGAGGAGATAAGTAAATATGGCTTGGCTCAGTGGTCCATAACATGGAGTAGCTTCAGCCAGCATTAGGCAAACAGAGTAACTAGTTAAACCTGACAGAGTATGTGTTTTCAACAATGAAATCTATCATTTA